CCCTCAATCAGCGGACAATTACCGCTCAATCAGCGGACACGCACCTGTTGTTACTCACCAGACAATCTCTACCTAGATAACCAAACCACCAGCTTACAATCACTCGTCAATGACCGCTACAACTCCAGATGTAACTTAAGTTTTGTGAACAGTCAGTGACTGACGAATCCCTTTACCACCGAGACACAATCCTTACAGCAAGTCAAAATCTTCCACAATCACCTTACCTGTTCCATGCTACAATCACTTCTCCCTACCCCCCACCCCCACCAAAAAAATCAGCAATAACCCCCCCCCCCCTTTCCCTGCTATTAGCTCCAACACCCATCCAAATCACCCCCTCCCCCAAGGATTAACCATCCAATCACCTCTCCCCCACGGATAAACCACCCAATCACCTCTCGCCCACGGATAAACCACCCAATCACCCCCTCCACCCCCTGCAATAACAGTATTGTTATGAACAACATCGTATGGTGCTTCCGAGCTCAACGTATTCAATAAATGTTAAGAAAGTCGCCATGAGTGTTGAAAGATGGACAGGTTTCGTAAAATGCTTGATAAAGATCGGTACGGGATTATTACAAGACTTTAGTAGTAACTTTCTTTCTCACAAAACGTTAGAATTATTATAATTAAGCCTTACATATTGTACATTATATCCGCCTGGCGTACTGTACCTTATATCAGGTTGGCGTACTGTACCTTATATCCACCTGGCGTACTGTACCTTATATCCGCCTGGCGTACTGTACCTTATATCCGCCTGGCGTACTGTACCTTATATCCACCTGGCGTACTGTACCTTATATCCGCCTGGCGTACTGTACCTTATATCCGCCTGGGGTACTGTACCTTATATCCACCTGGGGTACTGTACCTTATATCCACCTGGCGTACTGAACCTTATATCCGCCTGGCGTACTGTACCTTATATCCACCTGGGGTATTGTACCTTATATCCACCTGGCGTACTGTACCTTATATCCGCCTGGCGTACTGTACCTTATATCCACCTGGGGTATTGTACCTTATATCCACCTGGGGTACTGTACCTTATATCCGCCTGGCGTACTGTATCTTATATCCGCTTGGCGTACTGTACCTTATATCCACCTGGGGTACTGTACCTTATATCCGCCTGGCGTACTGTACCTTATATCCGCCTGGGGTACTGTACCTTATATCCGCCTGGGGTACTGTACCTTATATCCGCCTGGGGTACTGTACCTTATATCCGCCTGGGGTACTGTACCTTATATCCGCCTGGGGTACTGTACCTTATATCCACCTGGGGTACTGTACCTTATATCCGCCTGGGGTACTGTACCTTATATCCGCCTGGGGTATTGTACCTTATATCCACCTGGCGTACTGTACCTTATATCCGCCTGAGGTACTGTACCTTATATCCGCCTGGGGTACTGTACCTTATATCCGCCTGGCGTACTGTACCTTATATCCGCCTGGCGTACTGTACCTTATATCCACCTGGGGTACTGTACCTTATATCCGCCTGGGGTACTGTACCTTATATCCGCCTGGGGTACTGTACCTTATATCCACCTGGGGTAGTGTACCATCAACACAACACGTACCTGAAACAGAGAAATGAACAATTATTATACGTAAATGAAAGAATACTTGTATGATTCTTGCCCAACCACTTTGACTTTTTTTATTTTTTTTTTTATTATTTTTTTCTACCACAGACGTGGCCACACAGTTACAATGCTAACCAGCATATATACATTTTCTTCTGTCCTCCATGGACAGGGTTAGAGATCTGTTAAACATATAGTTCAGTGGTTTATTAAACACTCAACCACAGAAGGTGATTGTAGTGCTTTTAAAATGCTAATCTAACCTACAGACATAAATATACAGATTTACGTCTGTCCAACATAAACAGTGTTCGAGATGTCTTTTTACATAGCGTCATTAATATGCGTTTACAAAGTAACCACTTGGACTGGACGGTAGAGCGACGGTCTCGCATCATGCAGGTCGGCGTTCAATCCCCCGACCGTCCACAAGTGGTTGGGCACCATTCCTATCCCCGTCCCATCCCAAATCCTTATCCTGACCCTTTCCAAGTGCTATATAGCCGTAATGGCTTGGTGCTTTCCCCCCGATAGTTCCCTTCCCTTGTATGATTCTTGTCTTATCATACCCGAGGGGACCCGAGTTCAATCCCCGGGGGGCATGACTGAGACAGTTTCCTTTCACCTAATGCCTATGTTCACCTAGCAGTAAAATAGGTACCCGGGAGTTGGACAACGACAATAAGCTTATCAACAGGCTTCCTGTCCCCAACTTTTATCTCTAATACAATGCTTATAACTATGTCTTCTAACATGACGCCTGTTAGGCTTATCGACGTCTCCCTATAGGCCTACACCAACTACCGGGCTCCCTTGGGATGCAGCCCCCCCCCCCCAGGTGGAAAGAGGCACCAGTTGCAGGAAAACGTTGCCCAAACGTCTCGGCCCTGCCCGGGAATCGATCTCGAATACTCTCGGTAGTGTTCTCGTTCGTTCCAACCCGTTCTCGCAAATTTAATAAGTCAATATTGACTTATTAAATATGTGCATAGGTGACATACTTAACATAATAGTTTCCCTTGAAAAGCTTCATAGAAAACACCGACCTTACCTAACCTACTTAGTATGTTAAGATAAGCATCTTATTGCTTCGTAATTACAATTATTACCTAACCTAAAATAGGTATAGGTTAAGTAATAATTGTAATTACGAAGCAATAAGATGCTTATCTTAAGATACTAACAAGGTTAGGTAAGGTCGGTGTTTTCTATGAATCTTTTTAAGGGTATCTATTATGTTTAGTATATCACCTATGCACGTAGTTAATAAGTCAATATTGACTTTACGAATTTGCGAGAACGGGTTGGGTAGTGAGTAAAGTATGGTGAGTATTGCGCCACGGATCATTAAAGAACGCAGTCTCCGTGGTGTAGTGGTAAGACACTCGCCTGGCGTTCCGCGAGCGCTATGTCATGGGTTCGTATCCTGGCCGGGAAGGATTACTGGGCGCAATTCCTTAACTGTAGCCTCTGTTTAACGCAACAGTAAAATGTGTACTTGGATGAAAAAACGATTCTTCGCGGCAGGGGATCGTATTCCAGGGACCATAGGATTAAGGACTTGCCCGAAACGCTACGCGTACTAGTGGCTCTACAAGAATGTAACAACTCTTGTATATATCTCAAAAAAAAAAAAATATAAAAAAAATGCGACTTTCAACATTTCATTTTTAAAATAGTACTTTTTTACGTCAATTTCGTGTAAAACGGAGCCAACGACACAAGACGGTCAGCCCATCGGCACAACATGTGTTTGTCTAGGGTTAGTATTGTTTGTGTTGTTTTGTCTATGTTTGTTTGTTTGTGATTCTAGTGTTTGGTTCGCAATGTATAATTCTGTATCTGACAATAAAATCTTCACAAGTCAGTATCTGACTTAATAAGGTGTATATAGGTCAGCATCTCCTTTATATCGTATGCTGTAGGTGAAAGCTTTAGCTGAAATATGCTGCACGAGAAGGTTGCAGGTCACATATGCTGCAGTTAAAGTATAGTGCAGGTAAAGTATGCTACAGGTGAGGAATGCTGTAGAAGGTAAAGTATGCTGTAAGGGTAAGCTGCATGAGGAGGTTGCAGGTTGCACGTGAATTATGTCGCAGGAGAAGTATGCGCAGGCAAGAAGTATGCTGCTGCAAAGAAGAAATATACTATGCTGCAGGAGGAGTATGAGAAGTAGTATGCTGCAGGAGAAGTATGCTGCAGGAGAAGTATGCCCCAAGAGTATGCTGCAGGAGGAGTATGCTGCAGAAGTATGCTGCAGAATTATGCTGCAGGAGAAGTATGCCGCAGGAGAAGTATGCTGCAGGAGAAGTATGCTGCAAAAGGATTGCAGGAGGATTATGCTGCAGACGAAGTATGCTGCAGACAAAGTATGCTGCAGACAAAGTATGCTGCAGACGAAGTATGCTGCAGACAAAGTATGCTGCAGACAAAGTATGCTGCAGACAAAGTATGCTGCAGACGAAGTATGCTGCAGACAAAGTATGCTGCAGACAAAGTATGCTGCAGACAAAGTATGCTGCAGACGAAGTATGCTGCAGACAAAGTATGCTGCAGGAGGTAGAACACGCTTAAGGTACCGAACTCCACACTGTAGACACCACCACCACCACCACACGCTGCACGCAGTAATTGCTGTAGTTATGCCCGCTATCACATCACAAAAACCTCCACACACACACACACACACACACACACACACACACACACACACACACACACACACACACACACACACACACACACACACACACACACACACACACACACACACACACACCAGAAGAAAAAAAAAAAAAAACATACAGCAAAAACCTTCCAAATAGAAAAATAAAAAAAAGCCCGCCAACCCCACAGCAGCAAGACTTGTCGTAACTACAATGAGACACCAATCGCTCGTAACGATCACTCTGGCGCAAATTACCATGTTAAAACACTATAGCAAACCACCGTAATTAACTTTTACTTGTAGCGTATTCCTTTTTTTTCCCAATTTTGTTTTAAAACTTGAAGACACACACATTGCTGGAGACTTGTTAAGACTTAACGAGCAATTTGAGATGGAGGATGAAGGCTTGTGTAGTGGTGATAACACCTTCAAGAATCACTTGAGCTTTGATAATGATGATTGCTTCTAATACCAGCAGAGGACCTTGTGAATGACAGTAGGGCAGCAGGGGTTAGTGGGGTGAGGAGGGGCGGGGGGTTAGTGGGATGGGGAGGAGGTTAGTGGGGTGGGGTGGGGAAGGGGGGGTTAGTAGGGTGGGGAGGAAGAAAAGTAAGGAGACAGGGCACGTAAAGAGGGAAGGAAGCGTGGTATGGAAGAAAAAAGGAAGGGAAGTAAAGAGGGAAGGAAGGATTGCGGGAAAGCAGAATTAGGGAATGGGTTAAAGTAAGTCATGAAGCACCCCAGAGGCCGAGGGAGCCAGGAGCCACCAGAGGCCGAGGGAGCCAGGAGCCACCAGAGGCCGAGGGAGCCAGGAGCCACCAGAGGCCGAGGGAGCCAGGAGTCACCAGAGGCCGAGGGAGCCAGGAGCCACCAGAGGCCGAGGGAGCCAGGAGCCACCAGAGGCCGAGGGAGCCAGGAGCCACCAGAGGCCGAGGGAGCCAGGAGCCACCAGAGGCCGAGGGAGCCAGGAGCCACCAGAGGCCGAGGGAGCCAGGAGCCACCAGAGGCCGAGGGAGCCAGGAGCCACCAGAGGCCGAGGGAGCCAGGAGCCACCAGAGGCCGAGGGAGCCAGGAGCCACCAGAGGCCGAGGGAGCCAGGAGCCACCAGAGGCCGAGGGAGCCAGGAGCCACCAGAGGCCGAGGGAGCCAGGAGTCACCAGAGGCCGAGGGAGCCAGGAGCCACCAGAGGCCGAGGGAGCCAGGAGCCACCAGAGGCCGAGGGAGCCAGGAGCCACCAGAGGCCGAGGGAGCCAGGAGCCACCAGAGGCCGAGGGAGCCAGGAGCCACCAGAGGCCGAGGGAGCCAGGAGCCACCAGAGGCCGAGGGAGCCAGGAGCCACCAGAGGCCGAGGGAGCCAGAGCCACCAGAGGCCGAGGGAGCCAGGAGCCACCAGAGGCCGAGGGAGCCAGGAGCCACCAGAGGCCGAGGGAGCCAGGAGCCACCAGAGGCCGAGGGAGCCAGGAGCCACCAGAGGCCGAGGGAGCCAGGAGCCACCAGAGGCCGAGGGAGCCAGGAGCCACCAGAGGCCGAGGGAGCCAGGAGCCACCAGAGGCCGAGGGAGCCAGGAGCCGACCAGAGGCCGAGGGAGCCAGGAGCCACCAGAGGCCGAGGGAGCCAGGAGCCACCAGAGGCCGAGGGAGCCAGGAGCCACCAGAGGCCGAGGGAGCCAGGAGCCACCAGAGGCCGAGGGAGCCAGGAGCCACCAGAGGCCGAGGGAGCCAGGACCCACCAGAGGCCGAGGGAGCCAGGAGCCACCAGAGGCCGAGGGAGCCAGGAGCCACCAGAGGCCGAGGGAGCCAGGAGCCACCAGAGGCCGAGGGAGCCAGGAGCCACCAGAGGAGGGAGCCAGGAGCCTCCAGAGGCCGAGGGAGCCAGGAGCCACCAGAGGCCGAGGGAGCCAGGAGCCTCCAGAGGCCGAGGGAGCCAGGAGCCACCAGAGGCCGAGGGAGCCAGGAGCCACCAGAGGCCGAGGGAGCCAGGAGCCACCAAAGGCCGAGGGAGCCAGGAGCCTCCAGAGGCCGAGGGAGCCAGGAGCCACCAGAGGCCGAGGGAGCCAGGAGCCACCAGAGGCCGAGGGAGCCAGGAGCCCACCAGAGGCCGAGGGAGCCAGGAGCCTCCAGAGGCCGAGGGAGCCAGGAGCCACCAGAGGCCGAGGGAGCCAGGACCCACCAGAGGCCGAGGGAGCCAGGAGCCACCAGAGGCCGAGGGAGCCAGGAGCCTCCAGAGGCCGAGGGAGCCAGGAGCCACCAGAGGCCGAGGGAGCCAGGAGCCTCCAGAGGCCGAGGGAGCCAGGAGCCACCAGAGGCCGAGGGAGCCAGGACCCACCAGAGGCCGAGGGAGCCAGGAGCCTCCAGAGGCCGAGGGAGCCAGGAGCCACCAGAGGCCGAGGGAGCCAGGAGCCACCAGAGGCCGAGGGAGCCAGGAGCCACCAGAGGCCGAGGGAGCCAGGAGCCTCCAGAGGCCGAGGGAGCCAGGAGCCACCAGAGGCCGAGGGAGCCAGGAGCCTCCAGAGGCCGAGGGAGCCAGGAGCCTCCAGAGGCCGAGGGAGCCAGGAGCCTCCAGAGGCCGAGGGAGCCAGGAGCCTCCAGAGGCCGAGGGAGCCAGGAGCCTCCAGAGGCCGAGGGAGCCAGGAGCCACCAGAGGCCGAGGGAGCCAGGAGCCACCAGAGGCCGAGGGAGCCAGGAGCCACCAGAGGCTGAGGGAGCCAGGAGCCACCAGAGGCCCCTTGGCCACGCCCCTTGGCCACGTCCCGTGTCATCTTAACCGGGGTGAAGAATCTAACGGATGGTATAATACAAACGTTATCTTAAGAGTTCCACGACGGGAAACACCAGCAAGGTGGGCGTACTGCACCTTCCTTGGTTGTCGGAAAGGCCTTGAGACAGTCCCTCAATGGGACTTTTATTATAGCCGGTAGAAACAGGCTATATGGTGTAGTGGCAAGTGTTCAAGGAAGGAGTACCTCTCAGGAAGGAGCCAAGGCGTTATGTAGTAATCATGGAAGGTTCACAGTGGAGTATAGTGAATACAGGTCCCCCCCAGACACAGTCAAGGCAGGCCCCCCCCAGACACAGTCAAGGGAGGTCCCCCCCAGACACAGTCAAGGGAGGTCCCCCCCAGACACAGTCAAGGCAGGCCCCCCCCCAGACACAGTCAAGGGAGGTCCCCCCCAGACACAGTCAAGGGAGGTCCCCCCCAGACACAGTCAAGGCAGGCCCCCCCCAGACACAGTCAAGGGAGGTCCCCCCCAGACACAGTCAAGGGAGGTCCCCCCCAGACACAGTCAAGGCAGGCCCCCCCCAGACACAGTCAAGGGAGGTCCCCCCCAGACACAGTCAAGGGAGGTCCCCCCCAGACACAGTCAAGGCAGGTCCCCCCCAGACACAGTCAAGGGAGGTCCCCCGCAGACACAGTCAAGGGAGGTCCCCCCCAGACACAGTCAAGGGAGGTTCCCCAGACAGTCAAGGGAGGTCCCCCCAGACACAGTCAAGGGAGGTCCCCCCCAGACACAGTCAAGGGAGGTCCCCCCCCAGACACAGTCAAGGGAGGTCCCCCCCAGACACAGTCAAGGGAGGTCCCCCCCCAGACACAGTCAAGGGAGGTTCCCCAGACAGTCAAGGGAGGTCCCCCCAGACACAGTCAAGGGAGGTTCCCCAGACAGTCAAGGGAGGTTCCCCAGACACAGTCAAGGGAGGTTCCCCAGACACAGTCAAGGGAGGTTCCCCAGACAGTCAAGGGAGGTTCCCCAGACACAGTCAAGGGAGGTCCTCCCCAGACACAGTCAAAGGAGGTCCCCCCCAGACACAGTCAAGGGAGGTCCCCCCCAGACACAGTCAAGGGAGGTCCTCCCCAGACACAGTCAAAGGAGGTCCCCCCCAGACACAGTCAAGGGAGGTCCCCCCCCAGACACAGTCAAGGGAGGTCCCCCCCAGACACAGTCAAGGGAGGTCCCCCCCCAGACACAGTCAAGGGAGGTCCCCCCAGACACAGTCAAGGGAGGTCCCCCCCCCAGACACAGTCAAGGGAGGTCCCCCCCAGACACCGTCAAGGGAGGTCCCCCCCAGACACAGTCAAGGCAGGTCCCCCCCAGATACAGTCAAGGCAGACCCCCCCAGACACAGTCAAGGCAGGCCCCCCCAGACACAGTCAAGGCAGGCCCCCCCCCCAGACACAGTCAAGGCAGGCCCCCCCCCCAGACACAGTCAAGGCAGGCCCCCCCCAGACACAGTCAAGGCAGGCCCCCCCCAGACACAGTCAAGGGAGGTCTCCCCCCCCCCCCAGACACCGTCAAGGGAGGTCCCGCCCAAACACAGTCAAGGGAGGTCTCGCCCAGACACAGTCAAGGGAGGTCCCCCAGACAGTCAAGGCAGGTCCCCCTCCCCCAAACACCGTCAAGGGAGGTCCGCCAGACACAGTCAAGGCAGGCCCCCCCCAGACACAGTCAAGGGAGGTCCCCCCCCAGACACCGTCAAGGGAGGTCCGCCAGACACAGTCAAGGCACCAGATGGGCGACAATTAAACCGGCGTTATATATGGTTTAATTACCGGAAACATAATTAAAACGGGTAAGCAGTGAGACAAGAGAAGGGGGAGACGCCGCACACCACCGCTATACACCCCAAGCATACACAACGCTATACACCCCGCAGGAATACACCCCAAGCATACACAACACTATACACCCCGCAGGAATACACCCCAAGCATACACAACGCTATACACCCCGCAGGAATACACCCCAAGCATACACAACACTATACACCCCGCAGGAATACACCCCAAGCATACACAACACTATACACCCCGCAGGAATACACCCCAAGCATACACAACACTATACACCCCGCAGGAATACACCCCAAGCATACACAACACTATACACCCTGCCAGAATACACCCCAAGCATACACAACACTATACACCCCGCAGGAATACACCCCAAGCATACACAACACTATACACCCTGCCAGAATACACCCCAAGCATACACCCCCTCAACGTAAGAGGCTTAGCTGCGAGGAAATGAAGGACACAAGCCCGACAGACACTGGAAAGGACGAGTGCAAGAGGTGACATGATCACAACATCAAAGATTTTTAGGCGTTGATAAAAAAAATATATATATATATATATATATATTTAGCATGGACAAGGTCCATGTTGATAAGCACGTAGTATAGGGTACCTTTTATAATTATAAAATTATTCATTATTAAATTATAAAATTATCCATTATTAAATTATAAAATTATTAAATTATTTATTATTAAATTATACAATTATTATATTATTATAAAATTATTAACTTATAATTTATTATTTGTATTATAAAATTATCAAAGTATTATTAAAATATTTATTATTCAATTATAAAATTATTTTTACAATTATAAAATAACAATTATAAACACGTAGTTTAAGGTACATTTTACACTTATAAAAGTATAATCAGAAAAAAAGCTTGAAGTATACCGAAAGTCACAGACGACACTACCAAAGAGGAGTCTCTCGAGAACTTACGAGGCAAGCCCTTATAGGTGAGTAAACTTATGAGGAGCGGTTGATAATGGGACTCGGGATGAGTAAGGGGCTGAATAAGGCTTCAGGATGACTTAAGATGACATTTGAGGGGTTTGGTTCAACTCGTGATTACTGGACCTCAATCCTGGCGCGATACTACACTCCCTCATGACATTACTCACACTCTACTGAGTCATACTCATCCGCAGTCAGCATGAAGTTCTCACAGGGAATATTTTAAGATGTATGAAGTTCTGAGGTTGATGATAGGTTATACACACACACACCACACATACACGCCATACACACACCACACATATACACCATACGCGCCACACACACACACCATACGCGCCACACACACACACACACACCATACACGCCACACACACACCATACGCGCCACACACACACACCATACACGCCACACACACATACACACCATACACGCCACAGACACACACGGCACATACACACACCATACCATACACACACCATACCATACACACACCATACCATACACACACACACAGGGTAACAAACTGAGTACCTCATGGATAGGTGCTGGGAAACCCTTTTTGGCTGGGATCTCAAAAAGGGTCCCGGGACAAGACCTGGGGGGACAGATGTGCAAGTGATGGGTTATGAAGACTGAAAGAACTAGACCTGACGTTGCTAGAAAAGAGGAAAGGGAAGATATAATACAAACATAAAATAAAAGTCAAAATGGTAGAAAGTTTTTCAACGTAAGAATAATCGCAAATGGAATCAAGTAAAAAAGATTTGGCTAAAGGAGCAAAATCTATTCATAATTTAAAAGGGTGATATTATAATGGCACAAGGAAGGAACCATTGCAGTAGACCAGCGGAAAGAAAGACGGGGGTCCAAGAAGTAAAACTCGACCACGCCTGCAGGCACATATAGGCGAGTATAACTAGGCAAGTACACACACACACACATACACACACACACACACACACACACACACACACACACACACACACACACACATACCACCCTCCACGACACACACGCAACTGCAGGAAACCGCGCTCAACACCCAACAGCGATAATTCCACGCAAAGGGTCGTAAACCACACACACACACCAATACCGCCAATACCAGTGGACCAGTCCACCCCCAGTCCTGGAGCCCCGGGAGACGCAGGGGTCTGATTACATCACCATTGACCTACTAAACAACCCTACCCAACAACCCATCAACACAGGCTCCCCTCCCCCCCCCTTAGGCAGTCTCATATATGGCACAAACTCATTCAACATCTTAATCAACCGGCTGCCAGGCGAATCTAGCTCTTATGAAGCCAGGACACAAGGTGCGGAAAAACGCCACAGGAAGCCGCCTCCCGCCGTTTAAGCGGGACAAATAAACAGAAGGCTAAGAGAAAATAATAATAATAAAAAAAAGCTAACAATACCTCTGGTGGTTTGTACGCAGCCTAACGCCGATTATGACAATTATCAAACTATTATGTGGGCAATTACACCACGAGGGGGCGTAGTTAGCGCGTAGTACGATCCTGTAATGGATGCTATTGGCTGTGGACCAGGAGGAATGACGAGAGGCTGGTGGGGGAAGGGGGTTTGGGGCGGAAAAAGGGGGGGGGGGATGTTTCAACAATGGCTGCACACGCACGCACGCAAACACTCACGCACACACACACACACGCACATACCCCTGTTATTATTCTAATTCCATTTCATAAACGTCACAAGCTATTAGACCAAACTATCTTTAATCCTTAGTAAACTTGCGTAAATGTCAACAACAATTAAAGTCCAGCGTGTTTACCATCTTACAACACCGGGTTGTAATTACACGCACAAAGTGGGGATGATAATTACAGCCTGGCCTGACGCGGTTAGCCTCACCGCCCGCACAGCCTGCCCAAACCTCCGATAAAATACACACACAAAATTACCTGTGCAATTATCATGTATGGTTTGAGGAAATAATTATAGAACGTAAAACATGTCGCAACACACAATAAACATAAAGATATGCAATCATTATTATTATTATTAGGTGAGGGAAAATAATTATAGAATAATAATAATAATTGATGAAACGAAGTTATCTTATTAGGGGCGACAATTAATATATATGAACTAAAGAAACTGAAGCGGATATGTTTAACTGATGAAGCTGATATTATGGGCAGTGGTTCGTCTTGTAAAGGAATGACCAGAGGCCAGTTGGAGAAGCCCCCCCCCCACAAACACACAACGTAACTGTCCCCTATTTTCCGGTTGTTCCAAGTTGTAATAAAGTTGTTGCGTCTTGCTACAACGTTTTTATGACGTATTAGAAACGTTGTTAGGTGTTAAAACTTGTTCACACGTTGCAGCAACGTCGCGTTCTCGGAGGTCAGCTAGGCCTACCACAATGACACCATTAACTGCCCCCCGTCATCAATGACACCATTAACTGCCCCAGTCATCAATAACACCATTAACTGCCCCAGTCATCAATGACACCATTAACTGCCCCAGCCATCAATGACACCATTAACTGCCCCCGTCATCAATGACACCATTAATTGCCCCGTCATCAATGACACCATTAACTGTCCCGTCATCAATGACATCATTAACTGCCCCAGTCATCAATGACACCATTAACTGCCCCAGTCATCAATGACACCATTAACTGCCCCAGCCATCAATGACACCAATAACTGCCCCCGTCATCAATGACACCATTTATTGCCCCGTCATCAATGACACCATTAACTGTCCCGTCATCAATGACATCATTAACTGCCCCAGTCATCAATGACACCATTAACTGTCCCCGTCATCAATGACACCATTAACTGCCTAGTCATCAATGACATTAACTGCCTAGTCATCAATGACATTAACTGCCCAGTCATCAATGACACCATTAACTGCCCCGTCATCAATGACACCATTAACTGCCCCCTGTCATCAATGACACCATTAACTACCCCGTCATCAATGACACCATTAACTGCCTAGTCATCAATGACATTAACTGCCTAGTCATCAATGACATTAACTGCCCAGTCATCAATGACACCATTAACTGCCCCGTCATCAATGACACCATTAACTGCCCCCTGTCATCAATGACACCATTAACTACCCCGTCATCAATGACACCATTAACTGCCTTTAATAT